CCGTAACGATGAGAAATGGCCAAAAACACATTCTTCCACCGTAGGGAATTGCATGGAAAACAAAACATAAACAATTCCCAAGAGGGAATTAAAATTGAATATGTTAAATTATCTAAAATAAGCTCAACTCATCAATATTCGTCATAGTGAGAGCATAAGAACGTCCATTATTGCATTAAACATAGTTCAATTAAGCCCTGAACAGAGAACATTCGTAATCAAAACGTTTTACGAAACATATACCTTGCAGCAGACTCCCGTTGCTTTTGGATTGATTAACTTTGCATAATTAATGTCTTTTCAATTCTCAAAGGTGGAAGAATGTGATTTCGACCGAAAATTTTTATTGGATGAGTATGTGGCCATTTCTTATCGTTAAGGTTTAAGAAATATATCATAGAAAAGCTAAATAACAGCTCTTTCATCCTGTGTAAAAATTGAATTGTTTTGTTAAGTTTGTGATGCACAACAGCCTGTTGAATTTCCGTAGCGTTGTTTTGAGACACCCTGTATTATGAAAAGAAATTGCAACATTAATTTTCAGTCCACAAATGTAATGCATTTAATTAGCTACATAAATTATAGGTATATTGGTCACACAATTTCGGAAAGGTGCACAGTTAAGTAATGGTTAGAGCATGGTCATGTGTGCTCTATGGGATATAGAGTCCCGAGAATTAGAGAATCAGTCTTAGAGAATGACTGTATCCATGAAGGAATTGAAGGCATGCAATTAAAGTTAGAATAATGGTTGACGGAAGAGTGCACTTTAATTATTTGTGTATTCATGTTTACAATTGCGTACACAAACCAACTGTGAGAGAGTGGTTAGTTTTATTAGCAAACAATTATGGCGAGAACAAGACACAGAAGTACGGCAGTACAAAGTTATAAACGACCAAGAGATGAATTTCTGCAAAAAGTAACAAATGTCTTACAAACACCAAAGAGTCCAATTGCAAGTGGAGAAGTAGAACCCAACGAAGTTGTCACAAAAAGGAGTGTGTAAATAAGGAGCAAAGGAAAGACCTATCGTCTAAAGTGCTGGTGATGTTAACTCATGGGGATAGTACATTAAATTTGAATTTTGAGTGAAATGAACAGTACTGAATTATGACTTGAACTACAGCATATTGAATTTAGTTTATTTGGGTGGGTACTGGTGTATGTGCGTATTTATGCTATAATTATAATGAAAATGCTGGTGTTTTTACTTTGTAAATTTTGGACAACTTGTACTTCTTTAGGTGTGATTTTTTTAAGAATTCATTAACCACTCTATTGAATTAATTAGTGACTCTATATAGACTCACTAGTGACTCTACATAGGGTCACTAATGAATTCAATAGAGTGGCTAATGAATTAATCTTTTTATTAAATCTTTTGTTTTCTTAACCCCACATTTTCCCTACGCTTCAAAGCCCTCGTCACTTGATGATTTAACACACTATGAGATATAGAGCAATGAAATACTCGAAGCTGAGTGGGTGCAGTCATTCGCTAAGCCCTGATCAAACAAAAACATAAGTCCGTCATCGCAAGTTTTTGCTTGTGCTTGTTGTACTTCGTTTGACTGTCCACTTGCGACAACTTTGAATCTGTTCAAAAATTTCTAAAACTTGACATCTTGTGAACGTTTTGTGAACATGCACGGACTAGTGCATCGTTCGTTTCACCAGTCTCATGCAAATTTTATGCACAAGTTACAGCAAGTTAAACTTTCGATGGACTTGGGTCTTGTTTGATCCAGGCTTTATGTTACTGCATGTATATAACATATATTTATATAAACGGCATAGACACATGTTTGTGGTATGCAAGATATTTTGAATTCGAACAGATTGTTTTACGCAACAACACCAATTGGCCAAGTAATGACTGCTAAATTTATTTATATTATTTATTATTTTTAATTATTATTATTTATTTATTTTACAAATGCATTTAGTATTTATTAATTCATATTGTACATACACAGGGTTATAGTTCTTACAATAAATGTATTTTAAAAAACGATTATCATTTTATTGCATGTTTTATGTCTCAATCAATTCCATGCCCATCCCCGACATTTAAACTCATTTTAGTAGCGTTACCAAATGCCCCACCATGGGGGCCAAATTATACAACAAAATCCCCACCCTTGGGGACTTACATTGACGCAAATGCCCCAAAGTTTTCTGAGGATTTCTGAACCAAAAAATCGAATGCAGGCTCTATCTCATACCTAGCCTGCGTAGGAGGCGTTTAGTGCGGGCAGGAGAACAAAGGGCGTTGTTTGAGGAAACACCTGCCCAAATGGCTATGACAAATTTGTTTTCCCCCATTAAAGATGATTGACGTTTTGTAATTAGCGCCTTCGCCATTATCCAATCATAGTCGAGATTTATATTTAGCATCATGCATGCTTTTTGCTCAGCAACTAGCAAGATTTTCAGAGATTTTATGTACTATTTAAAACATGAGCAGCAGTGTTTTATCAGATATAAAGATGGTCTGATAAAACACATACTGCGATTGTTTTAAATTGCTTCAAAAACAATCTATCTAGTAAGTTCATTGGCGAAGTAGCTTTCAAAAAATTTGTTGTGTATGTGAAGAAAATCAAAGTTGAAGTGTATGTAAATCCAGGGAAATCTCTATCACACATAAAGATACGACACGTTTATGATTTTTCTTTGTGTTTTCTTCATGAATTATTGAGTTTTTGAAGCTATTTTAGACAACAGTCACAACACAGAGCTTTTATCTTTTAAAAGGCTCCTGAACCACGGTTGTTTAACATATTCTGCCATATAGCAAATAACAGTTGAGCATGTTTTGAAATGTTATTCTTAACATCATCATCCAACCTCATAGCTGCAATGCCAAGTGATGTAGCCTCAACTATCTGGTCTTGAATTATACTTTAAAGTGGACAAATAACAAGACAACTTTTAGAAATATTCAATCCCGGCTTGAGCAAGCTTTGATTTGCCAATATAAATGTATAATTGAAGATCAAACATTTCCCTATTCCGTAGGAAGAATTGTGATAACCGGCATCTTCAACCACACAGTAAATTAATAATAGACTTTCTCTGTTCTGGTTTCATTTTATTAATTTTATTTTACTTTTATTTTACAAGTTTGCCATTGCAATAGATCTATATAGAGTACTATGGTTACAAATTACTGGAATTTCCACACAGAGATAGTTCTCCAATAACAGGGTTCCAAAAAAGAACAACTAATGGTTTTTCTAATTATTTTGAAATTAAAGCAAACATAACAATTAAACACAAATACAAGAAGACAAAGCAAACGTATTGACGAACAAAAACTAAATTTAGCAACATGTTCGAGTTGATAAGTTCACTACTCGGCGAGTGGTGTGACTGTTAACAAGATTGACAACACCATCTCTTCTCCTGCCTGCACTAAACGCCTGCAGGCTATCGCATACCAATATATCTGCATTTAAAATCATTCTGTAGCCATTTCATTCCAAAACATTTTTAATTAAAATATTGAAGTCTCAAAACTTGATATAACAATATCAAACTGCAGAAGTAAGTCCATGTATCAACAGTATGGACAGTCTAAAGTGTGTATGTCCGCCATGCAATACAGAAGCACATGTAACATGCACACTAAAATATGTATAAATGGCAAAACAAGTGACAAATACTCAACTTTTTAGCCTTGAGCAAATTCCCCACCCCGGGGCTAACCTGCAGAAAGCATATGCCCGACCCTTGGAACAAGTACAGTTGAAAATGCCTGACAAATGCCCGGAGGGGGGGGGGATGGGAACCCATGGAATTGAGACATTACAATATGTACTTGGCTGCATGCATGAAATTTCAGTCACATTTATGAAAGCAATGATATATATATATAATGCAAATAAAATTTAAAAACATTTGTGATGCAAAAAAATATGCCAAAGTTGTAATCAATTTAGGATTTCCGTACAGTCACATGCTTGATTTATAGTCTAAAGTCTTTGACAAAATAACAAAATGGAAAAAGTACAGTGTGTCCTGATTTGACATTGAAGTGTCAAATCAGGACACAAGAAAGTAACAACAACGTTATCCAATTTGTCTTAGTCAGCATGTTGTCCTACCTTTAACATGTACAAGCTTATGTTAACAGCACCTATTTCTGTGGCAAAGGATGAAAAAAACATTTAGTCGTCTCAAATTTGTGAAGGCAGCAATGGGAGACAAAAGATGGGACGTGTCCGCAGAAATGACCTAGAAACAAATGCCAAAATAATGGTGTGTGAACTTCGCCGAAATTCTAGACGAAATATTTTAGCAGTTGCTGTCTATAGGCCACCAGATTCTGATCTTAACTGTTTGAAAGAATTTAAGAAACTCCTGCGACTTGCTAGCCGCACAAAATTCGATCAAATTATTGTCTTGGGTGATTTTAATCTCCCTAAGATTAACTGGTCAACAGGAACTTCGATGACTGGAGATCATATTCACAATTATTTCACGAAGATTGTTGTGGACTATTATTTGTGGCAGTTAGTTGACTTCCCAACTAGAGTGGAGAACACCCTTGATCTAATTTTAACAACTATTCCCACTAGGTTCCGTAATATCCACGGGTTTGACGACATAATTTCCACTGATCATAAACTAATTAGTTTCGAGCTACAATCGTGGACAAAAGTATTAATAAAATCGATCGACATTTTAGGAAAATACAATCAAATAACTTCATACAGGTCCCCCCCCCACCCAATGTTGCCATGGTTTTCCTCTCATTTTAAACATAGTTCAACATAACATTGTGCTGGGGGAAGTGGGGATGTTTTAGACAATATGCAGGAATTAAAATACAATTTAAACTCTCACAGAGGCAAATTAATATTTTATTAACAAGTTATGTCCACGATTGTCTGAGCACGGACCTTAAACTAATAAGTGTTTTTTGGCCTATATTTGCTATTTATTGCCTGAATATTTCTACCGAGCATTAGATCATTTTAGGTCAAACAGCGTTTCATAGATTTAAAATGGGTTGCTCTCTGGTATATTCCCGTAGGGTTAGATAAACATATGATATGCGATACTGATTATCGCAATCACTTCGCGCAAGTAATGATTGTAGTGTAATGTAAATGATGTGCACGAATCTTGTGCCAATGACGTACAGGGTGCACAGGAATCGCACTTTTTTGTGTTTTGAACCGTATTTAATAGTAACTTTATACTAGCGACGACTTTAACTCATTAAGCGGCAATGCGCCCGAATGTGCCCTGAGATTGGCAAGGGGTAAGCGGCAATGCGTCCGAATGCACCCTGACATGACACCTTAACTTGCGGACATGATATTTGTGCACATGTTTATCAGGTTGCCTAGCAACGGATACGAAAATACAACGTGAAATTCGAGCTTTTCAACAGTGTATCATGCAAGAAAATCGGCCAAAAACTCGCAAAGTTTTTCAAGTTTAAAACCTTAGTTTTTCAAAAATAATGAACAATGGCAATACTGTTGCAAAGAAGGATTTTACAGCAAGTTTTAAAAGCGAAGAAAGAAGACGTTTTTGAATCATCTATAATGAAAATTTGGCATGAAAGGAAAGCGAATGTATTGACGTTTTGTGGCCAAGTTCTTCTGTGAACCATCTGCAAGATTTTCAGCCAAAAAGACGAGGATTTCTCCAGACTTTATTAAAAATAGAAGTTGGAAATCACAAGAAAGATGAACACAGAACTGAAGTGAGCAGATACGACATTTTTAAGGGTATTTTTGAGTAGAAATATGCGATCAAACACTCACAAACTTTGACCGCATTAAAGTTGGTTGAATCTAGTTTAAAGTTATCTTTTTAGACGAACTGTTTATGCAAATTTGGGCACAATTTCGACTGTTTTCGTAACCCCATTGTTGGTCTTCTTGTTCAAGTTGTTATTTTAGGTAAAGTATGTTTCAAACGACACCAGATTAAATTACTGTGTGCGTACGTGCCCATTTTGGCAAGAATAGTTCGAGTATTAAATTACACTAAGTAGGATATTCCAAAATCATTCGTATCTATTTTCATCAATTTAGTCTTAAAATGACAACTCGTTTCAGACATATTGTGGTTTAAAATAAGTGTATTGAATTAGTGTGCTTGCTTGCCGCATGTTAAGGAACTTCAAGATTAAGGCGCGATGTGGGCGCAGCGACCGCGAAACGTGAATACGCAATAATTGACATAAATTGCGCGTAAGAATGATGTAGATACAGCACGTTTGAACGTTAAAATGGGATGAAAATATGACACACCTTAGACGTGACTAAGGGAAGGAACTTTATGTGGTTAAAAAATGACGTATGAACAGAAAAATGGTTTCCTAGTTTTAGAGTATAAATATGAGTGTAAAAATATTATATTATTGTTGGTATAGGTTGATTGGAAAGTGTGAGTGTTAGAGTGTATTAGTATGAAATGTATGTAGAATGGTTAGTTTGATTGATTGTAAAAGATTGTTTGAATAAAGGAAAATTGGAAAAAAGGAAATACAGTCCCAGTGGTTTGTTGACTGAACCAGCGAGCGGAAATTTCTTATAGTTTAACCAAACTTGTGCGAAGAAATTACAACAACTGGTCCTACGAGCCGGATAGATTGATTGAGAATACGGAGTGAATTGAACGATTTGTCGAATTGAGAACTATGTCGGAATTAGCTACGAAAAAGAAGATGAGAGGTGGGCATCGAGGCCACGTGGCGAAGTTAATAAGCAGCGCTCGTGAGTTAGTGGAGACCTATGACGGACAACGGAAAAGTGCGGTAGAGCAGGCAAAAGTTGGTCTCGAAGAAAAATTAGAAACATTGAGAGTATTAGATACGGCGATACAAGAGATGATTTGCGCGAGTGAATCTACAGGCGAAGCGTTTCTGGAAGAGATAGAAAGCTCTACGAAAGTACGGACAGAGATGCAAGAAGCGATCATATTGATCAACGGGGCCCTCACGACGACAGGAGAACAAACCTTGGCTACGGAGCCAAGCGGTAGTAGTTCGAATGCGATGGCGGATCTAGAGAACGGCGGATCGTCGAGCCATGCGAGACTACCTAAGCTGGAAGTGAGAAAATTCGACGGAAAGATCCATGAATGGCAAGAGTTTTGGGATAGCTTCAAAAGCGCTATTCATAACAATACACGGTTATCTGACGTAGATAAATTTTCATACCTATGTGGGTTGATTGAGGGACCGGCGAAAGCTACGATTGCGGGATTTTCCCTGACAGCGGAGAATTACGCCGCGGCTGTAGAGCTGTTGGAACGGAGATTTGGCAAGAAAGTTGCTATAGAACGGGCTCATGTGAGCCAATTGTTGAAAGTGCCACCAGTGTACGGCAAAAAGGATGTGCGTGGACTCAGAATATTGCACGACACGGTGGAGACCCATTATCGTGGATTGTGCGCGTTAAAGGTCAACGAAAATACATACTCTGGTATTGTGGTACCAACGTTATTGGAGAAGATTCCAGATTCAGTGAGACTTACTATCACTAGAGGGGAAGAATACCTTAAATGGACTATAAAAGAATTGTTACAAGCACTGTTAACCGAGGTGGAATTATGGGAAGACTATAGACTGACGCCACAAGTGAAACCTCCTGCTGGAAATGGAAGGAAAATGTACAACGATAGTGCACTACAAGTGAATCGGGATTCTGGTCGGGATAAAGATCGATGTGCATTCTGTATGGGGAAGCATCGCCATGAAGATTGTGCCAGAGTGAAAGATATGAGAGAACGAAGGAACTTGATACGTAAGTTTGCTCGATGCTATAAATGTTTAGAGGAAGGACATTGTGCACGTGACTGTAAAGTAGTTGTTCAATGTAAAAACTGTAAGGGGGGTCACCATAGTGCTTTATGTGAAACTGAAGTAAGCAGTGCATCAGAGGAGGAGGGTGCACAAGTAGGGAATGAGGCAAGCACCCATATAGTTAATGTACCTGCCAGCATGTTAGTTGGGGGCAGCAGTAGGATCGCGCTCCAAACAGCCCAAGCGCTAATTAAGGGTAGTAATAGTAGTAATAGAGTAAGAGTAATGTTTGACTCTGGGAGTCATAAATCGTTCGTAACTGCGGACGTAGCACACACGCATAATTTAAAATTGCTTAGGAAGGAGTGGCTTAGCATAAGTACGTTTGGTCGGAAAACCACTGAATCGGGATTGCATGATGTAGTTCTTATCGACCTGATTCCTGTAAGCGGTGGTGGGAATCTGACACTCGAGGCTTATGTTGTGCCGGAGATTTCACGAATAAGCAACAAGCACGTTGAAGTCGTTAAGAAAGACCTTTCGCATTTGCGTAACCTTTGGTTTTCAGACATATGCCGGACCAAAGAGGAGCT